AGAGAGAGAGAGAGAGAGAGGGGGAGAGAGAGAGAGAGAGAGAGAGAGAGAGAGAGATTTAGTTAAGTATTGACATTTGTTTGTTTGTTTGTTTTGCGGTTTACGTCACATCGACACAGTATAGGTCATATCGTGACGTTCCAGCTTTACTTGTGGAGGAAGACGTCAGGTGCCCTGCGGTGCATTAGTTCAGCTAGCTGGATAAAGCCTTGACCTATGTAAGGAAATGAAATAAATGTTTTCAATTTCCCTAATTGTTTCCCGTAATGTAAAATAAATATTTTATTTTATATAAGAGTTATGATACTTTTAAACAGGACAGAATAAACAACACTTTTGATATTATGCTTGTGCTTTGTTTCAATATTATTTTATAAAACTCAATACATATCATGACAGTTCAATGTCTCTAATAACTTAAAATTTATGGTATTGTTAACACAGAAAGCAAACTAAGTCATAACTGTTATTATTTCACACCTTATAAATAAAAAACAATGCACCGTCCGCATTCGCACTGCACTTCTACTCAATGAGACCTATCTTCCGACTTGCGCGTGACACGTCCTCTCAATATGTTGATCATTTCTGTGAAATAGGTGTAAAATCTGACTTCAAATAACGAAGTTATAGGCCGAACAAAAATTTGCTGCAAGGTCATGCTGTGACCTTTACCTTCAAGGTAGCCGCCCAAAATTAATATTGCGTGCGACACGTCGTCTGAAGATGATAATCATTTCTGTGAAATAGTTGTAAAATCCGACATCAAATAACAAAGTTATGGGCCGGACACGATTTTGCTGCAAAGTCATGCTGTGACCTTGACCTTCAAGGTAGTGACGCAAATGATGTGCGCGACACGTTGTCTCAATATGGTGATCACTTCTGAGAATAGTACGTACGTACGGACGGACGGACAGACGACCCGGCGACTATATGCTCCCCCGAAATTTTTCGGGGAGCATAATAAAATGTAGTCTTAACAAATGGTGCACCTTGACAGGCTAATATGTTTAATAACTAAAGCCAATTAATGATGTTTTGCTTGTCACAGTTTTAGGTTATCTGCTCTTGAAAATTACCTACAAGAGCCAAAACCTCACTTTTAGGGGCAATTAACTCAAAACGTAGGATGGTCACTCCTAATACTTTTATTTCCCTTTCAGTTATGATTTTGTCTTTATAATTGTAAAGGATTTCACTTTACCGGAAATCTATTTTTCCACTTATTTGTTTCAATTGCAAGTTTCTTTAATCATATTTAATCAAACAAAGTTAAGTTTGTTTAAATTTCCTCCTCTGCCTCTGAAAAACCAATTACACTACTTCCCCCAGGACTTCAATGTGTTAAAGTATGTACTTGACACAGCTCTTAACTGCGCACGAGAACCGTTTTGCTTAATTTTTCAACAGTGATGTCTGTCCGTATGTTGTCATTGTCTGTAAAGTAACATAGCTGATTATCATAATTATAACGGTCCTGAAAATAAATATTTGACATTGTACTTTGATTATTATGTGAAATTCCAAATTTAGTTTCTTGTAAAAATAACTTAAATGACAGTTGTTTTCAATCAAAAGCTTTAACAATTGCGGTACAATCGATAATTTAATTTATTTTCCTCCTTTTTCCTTTTTATTTTCTATAATGTCCAGCTGGTTATTTAGTTTTAGAATAAGAATATTAAAATCAACAAGGAAGATAGTCGTTTACATTACGCAGACGCCTCCTCGGATTCTCTAAAGTAGGAATACTAGAACTTCTCACTATAGGCTATAGTAAAAGATCAAAAAAAAGAACTAAAATACCAAACACCTAACACATATGTCGTACTGAACGATCTTCAAGGTTTGGAAATATAACGTTGTTTTATTGAATGTACAAGCCGACACATTAAGGCCTCCACACGGCACAATCAACTTTAATGTGACAAGAAAATAAAAATAAAACGATAATCACAAAGAACGCAAAGAAAAATATCACAGGATCAATTTAACTGTGACTGTTTGACTGTTCATGGACTGTAATGGTAATTGCACAATATGAATTTAAATTCATTTAAACGTTTGGTTGTTGCAAAGCTTTCCTGTTTGAATCTGCTGCCGATTTATAAAACAATCTGTCAAAAAAGGCCAACAGTCAAAATTTATTTGTTTCTATGAAAAATAAACATCTTTAGAAGTGTTTTTTATATAAATTTTGATCACAGACTTGCCAAGGCCAGCTCATATATTGCAGTGCAAATGATACCGTGAGTTAACAATTGTTATCAATAGTTATTAATATGCCAATGACATAAATGTTATGATAAAATCAGTTCACAGTAATAGTCAACAAGTGCAACCGATTGTAATAAATGTTACTGTTATTTTAGTATTAATTCCATTGGTTATACTTTGATTGCTACAAAATGTTAAGTTCTTGAGTTGCGAATTAAACACTTTTCCATTGAAGATTTATTTTGAAGTCATTGCGAATAAAACGTTTGCGCTTTACTGTGATAAAATATCTTTAGCCGGATAATCAAAAATATTTTTAACAAGTGGTAATGATAATCGTTTTTAAACATTGGGGATACTCGTGCACAACCATCAGCTGTGTTAAGTACAGGCTTAAAATATCACAAGTAGATACTTTCAAACATTGACAGCTGATGTTTTTATCAAGTAGTTAATGTTATAAATGATTTAATATTAACAGTAATTTATCTTACCTAACTCACATCTTTAATATCTTTTGTACGTATAAAATACTATTGATAGATGATGAAAAGATAAAATATTCATAATTTGTCTTTATATTGTTGAGAAAAAACATACTTGTGGAGGTCTTCGTGCCTTTGTATAGAAAATAATGCTTGAATTGTCATGAAAGTGAATATTTTCAAAGAGAACTACAAAAAATAAGAACCCCTTATCCTTCACTTCTTTATTACCCGAGCCCCCAACGCCCCTACACGGTCTTAAATAAACATTCTCATATAGTGTAGTTCACATAAGCGCTTAAGGTATTAGCACCCTAATGCATTACCTCCGCGTTGAAGAGTATGCAAATAGGCTAGAACTACTGTTAACTACATTGAAAATGAGGGCCATGGGTTCAATCCCCAGACGGGTCAACTTTTTTTTTCTTTCTTTTTTTCTTTTAACATTTTTATTTATGTATCTCTCATGTCCCATTTGGAAAGAAAAAAGTGTTTAATTTTGATTTTTTAATTTATATAGGTTTTTATTGGCTAAATTATGCTAAATCTAGTAATAAATATGATACGTGATATTTTCAAAGTGTAATATAATCAAAACTAGACGGTAAAAGTATTTCATATTTTACATGATCAACCAATATACTTTTTTAAAAATTGAGAGAAACTTTAAAAACAGGCACTCATTTGGGTAAATTTTAAGAAGTTTTTAAATTAGGCTCCCAAGTAGAAAAATGGTCAGACACGTGGTAAAAATGGGTGGGGTAGGGTAACATTTTTATACAGATTTCATAAATTTTATGTAGAAACCATAATTTTGCTTATGTGGATTGTTAGCTGAATGGTATTATTTGTTTCTTACCAAAAACTAATGGGAAAACATTTTTCATTAGAAAGTTATTGCAGATTATTTAAAGGTTCCTCATTTCTAAAAAAAAGGGCCCTCATAACTTCCCAGCTTGAGTTCAGAAAAATGGCCATAACTTGATTTCCGTACGGTAAACTTTGTTTAAATTTTGCATACAGGCGTACTTTAAGGTATACATCTGACCTATGATGTCAATTTTTTAGTTCCTTATAGTGCCAATTAGGGTCCTAATACCTTAAGTTTGAATTTTAGAAAACGTTTTCGTACAATAAATAGTTATGTTTTACTCTTTTTCTCACTTCAATATATCCTTTTACCTTCATTCTGACTACAATTTATTTTTAAACAGGTTAAATCACGGAATATATTTGTTACGACATTGACCTCGCTTGTAACATTTCAAATTTTGTCGCAGGATGATTTTTTCAAAGTGTAAATGGTGATTGCACAGGTAAAAGTCAAAGTAAGTGTTTTCCATATATGTATTCAATTCTGTATTTGCCTATGCAAAAAACAATTAATACTTCTATAAATATAGTTTGGACTTTATCGGTAACGTTTAAGTTTTAAAAACAGACAGGCGGTCTTCTTTGTAATTAAGGTAGTTTAAGAATTTTATCCTAAACTGTTTTTGTTATTAATCATTTGCCAATCACCAATGTAATAGTAATAGTCATTTTATAAAACACATGACTAATTGAACTCAATTCGACACTGAAAAAATAAGCATAAATTACTTTAACTGTATACATGAGATATGATAAAAAGAAAGAAACCGGAAACAATTATGCTTTATAATGGTATTACCCCTTTGTTGATAAAAAACAATAAATTGCAATTTTAACCCACCATCTCCTTTGTTAAAACATTTAAATGAGAAACGTTGGATCAACGACATTGTGAATTAAATCACTCCAGTCAACATTTAACAGGCAAGCCTTCTTCAGTTCAATGTTTTTTTTATGAAAATTTACGCATCAACATAATCATTTTCATGTCAACAAAAGAAAATTTTATCTATAATTTCAGACCACTTGCATTCCTAACAAATATATAGAGCGTATGCTATTATATTTAATGTTTAAAATATATGATCTTAATAGTATGCTACTACAACAGTATATTCAGTCATAATTTATTACTAAATGAAACATAAAAATCGTTGCATGGCTTGTTAATAAGTATGCATTTCTTAAAACTTGCAATGTATTTTCTTATTTCAAAAAAAATAAATCTACACAGATGTTGTACACTTATCTTGAGTAGTGAAGCTTTTAAAATTCAATTTCAATTCTGCTTTGACTTCCTCTTTATAAAAAACGGTGTTTCTAACTGGTCATTGGTCTCGTTGATTTTTCATTAGTTTACTTACTTTTCTTTTTTTCCTTATTTTATGATGCACGCTAATGTTGATATATACTTCTTTTTTTGTTTAAAAGGAAAACACTTAAGATTATTTTCGTCGACATTTCTTTTATTATTTTATATTATGACAAAATGCTTTTCTGTATTTAAGTTTTAAATAAACAAAATGGATTATATTTGTGCGTTGCTAAGTTTATTTCTTATTTTACCAACAGTCGGTAATTATCGGTTTTTTGTTTATATTATTTTTTTAAGTTAAAAACATCTTTAAAACTTTTTTTTGTTGTTGTTGTTGATATTCATATTATACCTCAATCTGAGAAGCACTTACGTGATAATATATATATATAAATAATACATATCGCTAATTGATTTATATTAATGATTATAAATAAGGGAAGAAAATAAAATGAATCAAGCGTGCTTATTTCACAGTCAGATTAAGCATACACGTGTTGCTATTGTATCGTTTCTAATTAAGTAATGCTATGTAGATTCCAACATATGTCCGACCACAAATGGTGTCCTTGTCTTTGGAGAAAGATGTGACTTTATGTGTCATTGTAAAAATAATGAACAATGTGGCAGGACTTCCGGTGAATGCTCGTCTGGCTGTGCTAAAGGCTGGTTTGGACCCGGATGTCAGTACAGTAAGTATATTTTATCACAATTAACATTGTAAGAAACACACCTATTTGATAAATAGCATGCATTAATTGCGTTCTTGGTATTGCCAAGGTTTTTTTCTGGAATCCTGTTCCCACCATCGACTTTTTATTTTAGGAGATACGTAAGAGACTAAAATAATCCATGTTGTTTCTTGTAAAAATTACACCACGAGCAGTAGAGAAAAAGCAGACAAAAATTGAATTTTTGCACACTTTAAGTGTCAGGCTAAATTTGATATTTGATAATTTAAAACCTGTAGTATTCCCCTACAAAAACGGGCGCAGGAAAAATTTTCAGTCTCCGTTGGTCCTTCAATCTGTTCCTTAGTCCTACATTTTTATCCAGTGTCAAAAGCAAATTGAGATATCAACTTCAAACTTTATACAAGATAACTGGACAAATCTCGTGTAGATGTTCGATGGACAAGAATAATAATTCTACATATAAAAGATTTTAAGTAATTGCCCTTTGTTTTTGTTTTTTCGTCCGAAGCATCACTGGAACATATTTGAGGTATCAAGCTGAAAAATCATAGGTATAAAAGGTGCAGTGCACAAGAATGAAGACTCTCTTGTTTATAATTTGCTAGAAAATGTAAATAGTTTTTCAGTCTAATTTTAGTTACTTTTGATGCCATAATAGTTGAGTGTTTGCCTTTCGTGAGTATTCATGCTGTATTTTGTCCGGAGCATAGCTCAAAAGTATGTGGAATATCAATTAAATTTTATAGCCTGAACGATCTCAGTATAAGGAGTGCAATGCACATATGTGACATCTATGCCGATAAAAATATTTCGGCTATTTCCGCTTGGTTTAAACAGTATTGATTCCAAATGATGCAAACATTCATGATGCATACAATTATTATACAACATAATATAAAACATGGAAAAAATGATAAAAATGGAAAAGGAAGTCTAAGACGTAAGTCGATTTCTTTCCCCTTGCTAAACTCATCTTTATTCTAGGGCATTTCTCGAAAAATTAGTTTCTGAAGTCAACTTGAACCTTCAAAGGTCCATAGATATTCTTTTTTTGTTCTTTTTATTTGAAAAAGTGCATTTCATAAGAAAGATGCCTCTACTTTTCATATTTTAATGTTATTTTTTAAGCAAGGATGTCTCGATATAAAAAATACATATAATCTTCTTGGACCTTCTTGGATATATTTAATTAATAAAAGTGCACTGCCCAAAAGTAATAACTCTCCTCTTCATATTTTGTGTCTGTCCTAACTTTTTTAACTGTCCTAAGTCATTGTCATGCTTACCTTGAAACTATATAGGCGGACAAACATAGCATCTTTTCAATTCGTTCTTTTAAAGTTTTTGCTTCTTGTTTCTTTTCTTGCTTTTTTGACTTTAGCTATATGACCGATAACTTTGAATTTTATTTAAGGAAGGTCGCAGGTAGAGAAAAAGAAGTTGACAAGACTTTACCATTTGTTTGTTTCCATGTTAAGTTCGCAATTTTTGTCCATGTTATAACTGAAGAGATATCAGCTTAAAGCTTCAGAGATAGACATGTCACAAATACCATATTTGTAATTTTGACGTTATAGCCCTTTGATTTCTAATTAAATGCCACTTTTTGCAAATTAACTAACCACTTCTTACAGCTTACTTCTGTTCGATTGGGAAATTGGCAGTTTTTGATTGCTTTCTTTTGCCATTGATCTTTTTTTAAAACAAAATCTTTTAAATCCGAGTACAAAATAATTTTATAGAATTTGCTTTTATTTCCTAAAAAAAATAATTTAAAGTTTTGGTATAAGTAATTGGAGTCGAACCTTTTACAGTCTTACACAGAATAATCTATTAGCAAAGCATTATTTTTAGAGAAATAATAACCAGAGCTTAAAAATAAAGACAAGCTCGGACGATAAATCATACTTGCAGGACTGAAAATAGTAAAAACAGCGTATTTCTACCTTCATCGGTTACTTATGTCGATTCGTTGTTTTTATTGAATTCAAGACAAACATTAACAAAAGTTTGTTTTTTTCTTCTGAAGATGCTATAGAGAGATTGAAAGTCGTTGGAAATGTGTTGAAGATAAAAATATGTGGTTCAAACTAATTACAGACCAGGCCCCCGTGTTCACAAAAAAGCATTACCGTGCTGAGGATTTAGTTAAAAATGCTAGGGAGCGTGAGGGATGTTGCACTTATTAATTATCCCTCATGTCGGACTCAATCAAACCGAGTCTGCAATTCTTATGTAATTTTGTTGTGATTAATGCTTCCGGGGGACCATTTTGTTTCTAGATTTTTTAAAAGAATTATATTTGAATAGTTCTCCCTAGTTTGTTACTGAAATCTAATATACACATTTAATTTAAAGCCATTTCAAAATAATTTTATTTATTTACGCTTTTTAGTGGATTACTGATGTATCCATGATAAATTACAAGTGAAAACTATCAAAATTTTCTTTCTTTTAAACATATGTATGACTTACTCATCCCTCTAACATAAAATACAATTATTTTCCTCCCCTGAAAAACCTTTTGAAAAATGGCGGCGGCTTGTATTAAAAAAAGTCTGGGCTAGTAAAACTTCCGCAGATAATAACGGAAATAAGGTCGGACGGTGACTAGAAATGTTTCGGTTCTTTTAATTTAAACAAGCGATCATTCATATTTTTGAATAAAATAAATAATACCATCACCAAATAACGTTGATTTTTGAACTTATATTTTAGCTCAAGACTCCATTAAAACAATTCGACTGAATGTAAGGACAATCAGTGGGGAAAACAGATTTAATAGTCATGTGAATATTGTGGAAATTTCAATTTAACTTGTCTTTAAGCATAAAATTAACAAAAAAAAATGTGTTTGTTTGTTGTGTAAGAACAAATTTGTAGGAATTGAAAAACGTGACTTAAAGATCGTTCAGCACGACATTATTTGTGTGCTTGTGATATGTTAATTCTGGGTGGTTCCAGTAATCCTCACTTAAATACTGTAGGATCACCCTTCGGATATGTGGCTGCTTTTTTAAATTTGTATTTTGACGTAATATCTGTGATATGTAGGCATCTTAACCTCTGATCTTTCAAATTTCAGTTTTATCTAGTTCCGCCCATTATTTTCTCGTTTAGGACACACGCAGTTTTTCACTAGAGGACCATATGCCGCTTTTCATGGAATGGCACCAACATGTCACATTGAAGGTTCCATGATTACCACAATATAAACACATCTGCGGATGTTTCAAAATTCCAAATTTTACCAGTTCATGTTAAATGTTGAATACTACTTAAGCCGGTGCTAGGTGGCGTGGACGGTAGTTTGCACTTACCTGTACCGTCCATGAACAGACTCAATCAAACAGAGCCTGCAGCCTTTTCACTTTTGTCGTGTCAGGCTTTCGTTGGGGATTCTTATTCGTATTTCTTTCTTTTCAAAGATGAAAACATATCGTGTTAAAACTGATTTTGGTTTGAAGTTAATAATATAAATCAATATATATTACGTGTCGTTTCGTCCGATTCCATATGACAAGTAAGAACACTTTAGTTCAGTGTTATTCGATTTCAGTCAGAATAAAACAACTTCTAACGTAAATGATAATTACCTTTTTAAAAAAGGCATTATTTTGGCATGTAGAAAAACAAAAACTAAAAATCAGTTTGAATATACTCGATACATTTAAGCGATACATTTCAGTCTAATGTCTACATATCCTTTATCTACCTAGTTTGATAGGTAGAAAATAATAACTTGACGTAGTCACTGTAATGTCCAGGATTTCGAAACTTTTATAAGTTGCATCACAATGATGTTTATACATATATAGGAGATTTAGCTGCGGCCGGTAAATTTTCACAAGGTTCTGTACACCTTGCAACTGACGGAAACCCAGAAACTTGTTACGAAACTCAACTGAAAGATAAGCCGGTCTGGAAGATTTCGTTTACTTCAATCGAGACAATTACAGAATTACATATAGTAACGAAGTCCGACACATTAGGTTAGTGGGTATGAATTTATCATTCAAAATTTTATTCTACAAAATTATAATAAGAAAACATGATAAATAGTAGATATTGTAAACAAATTTGATTATTAAATGAAAATGCATTCATACTTATCATGATGAATCCTGTTTATCTTCATGGAATGACACTACTGTGTCACATTGAAGATTCCATGATAACCACCGTATGAACACATCTGCGGATGTTTCTAACTTCAAAATTTCACAATTTTTGTGTTTAAATGTTAAATTATGCTTAAGCCGGTGCTAGGGGGCATGGATGGTAACTTGCACTTTCCGGGTACCGTCCATGAACAGGCTCAAACCGAGCCTGCATCATTTTCAATTTTGCCGTGTTGGGCTTTCTTTAGGGATTCTCTTTTTCTCTATTTCTTTATCAATTCTATTTTGGAGTTGTATATTTATCCAAGGGATGTGGTTAACATTTTTTCATGAATTAAACGAATCCTAATATCACCTTGCATCATCTTTTACTTTTTTTTTAGAATATTTCGAGAACTTTAAAGTTCTTGTACAAAACAGATCATCAAAAAATGAGAAACAGGAATGTTACAAACATGCAGGAATAGCTCCGAAAAGCAAACAATTTACTGTGAATTGCTACAATCGTTTAGTTGGAGACCAAGTTACAATTAAGTTGAGTAGTTCGCAAACACAGTTAGTCATCTGCGACGTTAAAATAAATGGGGTAAGTGTGTGTTTTTTTGTTTTTTTTGTTTTTGTTTTTTTTCTTGTTATCCATCATTTGCTATGCCACTATTTGAGTTAGATGCTTACTGATTTTTGAATATAATACGGAACGAATTATCGAAATTGCATTATTTCGAGCATGTGGTCAAAGATGTAATGAATTAAACATGCGGACTTCAGCAGCTCACTTTCAGAAGGTATATGAAGTCATATTATCACTTTGTTTGGGCTGGTTTAAGCATATTTATTTAGGCTCGATTGCGAAACAAGTTCTAGCAACTTATACAAATCAATTTCGAGTTCGCTTCCAGGAACAAACTAATACTGGTGTCATATGAAGAAACAGGGTCTGGACATGCATGTGTATGTGCGTGTGAACATTGTCCCATACGAGCATAGTTAATACATTTTAATAGTATACACCTACGTTTAAAAATATACATAATAGTGATCGCCTTGTTTTTGTTGGTCCAAATGTTTTACAATATGTATATTTTGTAACCTTTATTAAAAGCTTTTGGATGCTTATCTTGGCATATATAATGTTGGAAATTTACAACGAAAATAAGGACGTATTATCTGATTTTATTGAAATGTCAGCAATGCGAATATTATATAGCTCATATGAATATTTAAGTTCAAACTGAGAATTAATCTTGATATTTTTTTTATTCTAGTAATATCTTTAATTAAACTTGCATATAAAACATAGAAGTTTAAGACCATATGTAATAAAAACAATTTTCTTAAACTAAATTGGTAGAAATAAACAGATCGAATTACGGTAATGTTTAAATGGTAATATCTTTAAAGTCATATTGACGCTTGGTCGCCGAAATTATATAATTAGCAAATGCTTTTTATTCAATTTTTGTTCTTGAACCAAAACATTGAATATGTTTGGCTCTGCGAAAAGATATATATCATATCTAATACCGGCGAATAGTACATCCCTCTATAAATAGATTTTCGGACTTTCACAATGTTAAGGTCATCATTCTATTTACAACTTTCGGATACACGTACAACAATAACATACCATAATAACCCCCTGTGTACTACAAAATGATTAATAAAATCCCGAAGAGCGCGATTTATAATTATTGACGGAAAAGATGATTTCATTTGTTGCGAAATTCTCTAGTTCGCTATTACATATCTTAAATAATGAAACATCCTCATACCAATCGGAATGATCGGCTATTATCACCAACTTAAAAGCCCGAGAAGTTGCAATTGCCCTTTCACAAAATCTGAATTCATTCTATAAGGGGCGCCGCGCTTCGGCGCGTACGCCAATAACATTATAATAAATTACCAATTATGTATATGTTACATAATTGAACAATATTATTGGATTGAAGAATTTACGGCTACGTAAAGATGTAAAGTTGAAACATCTGATTGTTGAAAAGCTGAACTCTTTTACTTACTTTTTCCCCGAAGTTTAACATCGTTTGGTCTTGACAAGTGTTAGGTTTGAAATTTCTTAAAAAAGATTTGTATGATCAACACACACAAACACACCAACACACCAACACTTTAATCGAACAGACACGCACATCTTTGTCAAATGCCCTTATTTTAGGCTGTATAGAAAAAGACACTTCCTCGTGTTGCCTGAAATGAGCTAGACTGTCATGTTCAAGTTATCTAATCAAAGCTGCAAGCCTCCACATGAGCCAAATAGTACAAGAAAATCACACAAAAACTTAAATTTTAAGAAAAGTAATAAAATAATTTACATTTTTTGTGTAATTAATGACTGATTTTGCATTATTTCTCACAATGTTTTGCATATTTTGACATCTTTTTGATAATTAACGCAGATTTTAAGGGGCTGTCTGCAATGTGCAAATTAATTCTCTGTTCACTTTACAATATTTTACAATTAAGTACAAGTGACGGTTCAGAAATGTTCACTAATTCGGATAGAGGGCGTGTAAGCTGCCAGAGCAATGAGTCTATTGAACTGCCATACTGTATTCAGATGGTCCCAGCCCGACTTCACATTTTCCAAACACTGTGACATTTGGTGCCCAATTTCGGGCCGTGGTGGTGTAAAGCTTAGAGTCCAATCTCACATTGTTCTCTATACCCATTAGAAATTTGAGGAATAAGTTCAATCTAACGGGGATGTATGCACAGTTTAGAACTGTTCACTATTTAGGAGGGACGGTGTGTAAGCAGCTGGAAACTCAGTTGATAAAGCCTCAGTACGTTATCCCGAGGGTTCGAGTCCTGGTCCGGCTGCACATTTTTATCACCCTGTGACATAAACGTTTTTTAACTATAATAAGCAAGCAATTGGAGACATTCTGCCTGAAGCTTGAGTTTCATTTCTTAGTTATTTATTACTTAAACTGAGACAAAATGATATAACAATCAATACATTTAATTTTGCATGTTTAAATTCAAGTTCAAATTATTGAAATTGGATTAAATTGAAAAAAATATTGTTTTTCATTTTTTTCTTTAATTTGACAATTATTTTAAAAGGCACTAATGACAAAATAGAGATATGTTCATACGGTGGTTATCATGAAACATGTAATAAAACATGGAATAATTCAAATATGCATGCGACCATGCCCTAAAATTAAATATGACTTAATAATGAATGTTGTCATTTGAATTACAAATTAGATACATACTTGAACAATACGCGTTGATTTAGAAAATGACATAAAAGATCTGAAATTGTCTTATATTGAGATAACTATGTTATTCATTCATACTTAAAACAAATACCGATGACAGTGCATGCATATTGAAAAAGTGGATCCTTATTTTCTCTATTTTAATAATAAAAGCATATCAGACCTTGATCTGTCACTTACCTAAACTGTCTAGGTAAAACATGAAAATTAATTAAATACGGTAAAAAAAGTGTTTCTGCCTCTGATTTGTTTGGGTTTTAAATAAGAGAAAGTCAAGCATACATGGCACTATTGCTATTCAACACCCCGCCAACTTGTTGTTTGACTTACTCTAGTTTTTATTTCTTTAATTAACATCCCCCCTTCCCCCAGTCTCCTGTCCCCTTCCCCTTTGTGGGCCTATTATTATTTTTTTGAATTCCTAATCAGTTACAAATTATGTATCATTTAATGATTAACCTGTCCGTGCTCTGTCTTTGTCCTGTCCTGTTTTTGTTTGGGGTCCGCCTGGGCTCCTTGCCACTGGTTCTTGTGGCTGGGTCATATGGGGGTTGCGTTCATTGAACGCCGTCTTTCCTTGTTGATCTTGTTTATCATATTTTTTACTATGCACGCGATATGATAATACATAATCACCCACATTATTTTTTAAAAACAAAGTACTGATTGTAAATGAAAATCAAATAATTTGTGTCATTAACTTGCAATTGTCATGACTTGCGTATCTCATGATCATGACCCATATTATGAAATCGAGAAGTCAACTTGAAATCGGAAGTGGAACTTGTACTTGCAAATCTCATACGACACCGGACACCGGCACGTTCCGCTTTACTGCATCAGTTAACTGCCAAATTAAAGGCTGATGGAGGAATTCTGACAAGACTTCAGTGTTGTTATATTTTTTCTGGTCCTTCGGGGTCATTGATGCCAGCACTATTAAGGGTTAATAATTGAGTACCGCTCAAGTCAGGGCTAGGGGGCATGAGGGATGTTGCACTTGTTCATAATCCCTCATGAACAGACTCAACCAAACAGAGTCTGCAATTTTCATGTAATTTTGTTGTGATTAATGCTTCCAAGGGATCGCTTTTGTTTCAAGATTTTTATAATTCACAACAGCAGCTGTCATTTGCCGTGTGGCAGCTGTAAAAAATGCCCCGTACTTCACTTCAGTGTTGTTATATTGTTCTGGTCCTTCGGGATCATTGATCATTGACATCTGATGACCAGATATTCTTATAAACCTTTCAATGGTTAATTGGATTTTACCAGAATATTGTACATGTTCATCATGAACTATGGTAGGCTTGCTAGATATAAGAATATTAAATGTTTTTTCTTTGGAACATACAAAACAGTAGTTAAAATGAACAAAGTCTGTTTTTTTATTATTAAAATTGTAACAATTAAACAAACAGACTATATATTGTAATAAATGGATTAATATACATTTGTAGTAATATTACGTGTATTTTTTCATGTCAAATTAAGAAAAATGGTTTCTTTTAACACCTGGGAGTTATGTCAAGATACAGTAGCTATATTCTGCGTCCCAGATGAATACTGCAAGTCGAACACACACTGGAATGATACATTTGATATGAATTTCAAAAAGACCAAATTCAGGAATTGCTTTTGTTATACGCATTAACAAAAACTAATGATACATTTAAAATAAAGAATAAATTTGCATGTCATGTTGATATAGTGAAACATTACTTATCAATGAAAGACTGTTATCTGAATTTTAGACAGATATGAGGAAATTCACTAACATTAGGTTCAAGCAAGTCAAAGATATAAAAGCAACTTAACATTGATAAGAAATAAAGAGCTATTGTGAATTGATTTATTGGGAGAGCAATCTACTACGTTGTTGAATTGCTTCAAAATCCTCGTCCAGTTTTAACACCTTATGTTAAAAGGATACACAGGCAAATTTTAATGACAAAAATATAAAAATAATCTTCTGTACTCAAAGCACGCTAAAATGACATTTTGTGAAGTCCCAGCGTGAATTTCTTTATAAATGCTATATATATTTTGGTTTTGAATATCCATATGTGTTGAACGAAATTTAGACGCCGACAGAATCACCGAGGAGTTTTAAAACAAGTCATGTGACTTGAACAAACACTTGAAGTTACAATAACATATATTGTGGATATGAAATGATTGATACAAGTCTAAGAAACCCATTTAAAAAAACATGTTCTTTAACGTTTCCAAAGTTCACTTTGACAACTATTGTGAAATCTTAAAAATGATAATTCTATGATATAACAACAGTAAAAATGGCCTACTTAATTTCTTTTGATAAATATGAAGAGTGCAATTTATGGTTGAATATGTTTGCATTTCATTGCCTGCAAAACTCTCCAGTTCATTATTTCTTACCATAGCGCAACAAAATTACCTTATTATAAATAGATTTTCGGACTTTCACAATGTGAAGGTCATATCTTTTTATAGCTTTCAAATTCTATACAACAATAAATACATATATAACCCGTTGTGTACTACAAATAATTAGTTATTTCCTGTAGAAGATACAAATGTAAGATATAAATTACCAAACTTTAGTTTTATTTCTTATTTTGTCTTTTATACTGCTTTTATATATGAAATTTGTTTCCGTTCATTCATTAATATGACATACTGCGAATAGACCATTATATGACTTTACATAACAGAAATCGGAAGGAATTATTGCATCCGAATTTATTATTAGCTGTAAATCGAAGGGATTAATCGATAAAAATCGGGTCCATGGACAAAAAAGATAGTTAACACAAATAGCTATGCGCCTGTGGGCGTGGATCAATGACATTTGATTGCTATAAAAATCGATGCACATATTCAGGTTAAGCAAATATCATAGCTAAATGAAGTGTGTTTTGTAGATTAAAAACCTTTTATGATAAATAAGTTTTATAATACCAATGCATTATTTTCGAAAGTAGTGAATAAACTTTTGAAATGAATATGGCTGTTTTAAATATTTTTTAAGTTTTAATATCTTTGTTCATGGTCATCTTCATTTCCATGGCCATTTTTATTTCAAAAGTTTATATATATTCACTACTTTGACGTAAACGAAAATTATGCAACGGCATCTAAATAGATAGGACATTGGCTTTCGAAGCCCAAGTCTACCAGACTATACATATCTGTATATGTTCATTATTATAAAAATAGTTTTTTCTTCATTTTCGGTAAAATTCAATGTACAGAGAAAATATTGTACATTGAATTTCACAGGATTCACAACAAACGAAAAGTAATATTTGAACCAGACGTTGCAGTTGTTAAAAACTCAAACATAAAATATATTTCACTGCGAAAAATATACTGATATACGGGAATATACGGTCCCGTATTTTTGACATATACGGGCGTGTACGGGATGTATTTGTCGAATACACGGACCAAGTATACGAGTCCCTATAGGGAACACCGGGTATACGGGAAGTCCGTATATGCACCAGGCATATACGGAATTCTGTATTTGCCCCATATACATGTACGTATATTTGTTCGTTCTTTTGAAGTATACGGAGAATAAAATCCCGTATACGGGCTTTATCAAGGTTGTTATCCCTAGTATACTACAAATATACCAAAGATATACGGACTCGTATTTTCTATGTATACATAGGATATACGGACTCGTATTTTCTACGCATACATAGGATAAACGGAACCGTATATTCTACATATACAGAGGGTATACGGGATCGTATATTCTACATATACAGAAGATACACTGAATCGTATTTCCTACAAATACAGATGATTTATGGAATCGTATTTTCGATATAAACGGAATTGCATTTTTGAGTTGTACACAGGGTAAACAGAACTGTATTTTCGAGATAAAAGAGGGTACAGATTATATCAAAAGCATTTACATATAAGTGACACGTATACATGACCAAAATGCAGGCTCGTACAATAGAACAAGTTTGATTACACATTGTGAATGGGAACTGTAAATTCATATGCTTAAGAACTTTGTCTTCACAATTGGAGTATTTCAAATAATAAAGAAAAAACCAAATCAAGTCAATCTAAAATATTTATTATTTCATAAACATATATTCAATATTTATACATATATTAAACAAAATAAACATGTCTTCGCTACAACAATCATATATTATTGTAAAGCTTATTCTAGAGGGACACATTAATGAAGCGTTGCAACGGAATGGCGATATACCGGTATGTTGCGATACAGAGTAATGCAATATGTATCACAGTGCAGAACATCCGCACCGCGATATTTCCTTCAAAAATCTAATTATACATGTACATTTTTCGATATTTTCAGGCCGTAACCTTTATGAATTGCATTGTTGTTTAAACCTAGAACAACTATACCAACATAAAGTTCTTTTCTATTTATCTTAACAATGATTTTCATTAGCCAATTATATCACACCCATAAAACATTTTAAAGATTTTAATATTATTTGTTCGTGTTAACAATTACTTATTGTTTTAGGAAAATGAGTCCATATCACAAATCGATTATTACAGAAAGTTTTAATAATAATCATTAAAATTAAAGACCCGTATTCACAAAAATTCGTCATTCAAACACTGTTCAATATATCAATCATCTATAGGAATGTTACGTAGACCAGTGTGACGGTGTCTATTTCATGACGTAGAAAATGTAAACTCCAGATTTGGCATGTGTGTATCTGAAAAGAGAGAGTTTAAAATCAGGTTTAAATAGTGTCATGAAATAGTTATTTTAACTTTCAAAAAGACTATGCACAAGTATTTTGTTTAAGCGTATACATATATACAATTTCTTTTCTTACTCAAATTTCAAAATTATTTTATATTTTTAGGATAAAAATGTCATTTATAAGCAACCATTTACACAGCATTTAAATGAAATGATTAATCTATGACGGATGAGAAATTATGTTTTGTTATAAAACCTTTTCGAATATATCCATTTTACACGTTTAATATAATGGTAGCTTTGTTCTATATGTTTTATTGATTAAAAATAGATTAATACAAAATAACATTGTATTGGGAAAAAGTGCTGACATAATCTTTTTGAACGTTTTTACAATGTATATTAGCATAGTTAGTAGACGTCTATTCGTTCTGAAAAAAAATGTTCAAAATGTTCAGACATGTACGGTGGCACAAAGGTGACATGTGTGTGTTTTTTATTTATCTCGTGGCCACGAAATTCTATGTCGTGGCCACGAGTTACTAAGATAGCTAAGTCGTGGCCATGGGATAGCTAAGTCGTGGCCACGAGATACTATGTCGTGGCCACGAGTTACTAAGTCTTGGCCACGAGATAGCTAAGTCGTGGCCACTAAATACTAAGTCGTGTAATAACTCGTGGCCACGAGATAGCTAAGTCGTAGCCACGAGATAATATGCCGTGGCCACGAGTTACTTAGTGGTGGCCACGAGATAGCTAAGTCGTGGCAACGAGATACTGTGTCGTGGCCACGAGTTACTAAGTGGTGGACACGAGATAGCTAAGTCATGGCCACGAGATACAATACCGTGGCCACGAGCTACTAAGTCGTGACCACGAGATAATTAACAAATCAGAATACACTATATATATTATGATTTTTTCTAACTTAACAACTTACTTTCACATGCAACATTAATCTTTGAAAATACTGAAGATATTCACTTTTAACTTGTCTTTAGGATCATATTAGGAAGTCACCTTCCAAGGTCCATCAGACATTAATTTTGAGTATAGCTCTTTGTTGGGACAGTTTTCGTGATCAAATTGGTCAGTTTGTACGTACTACGGCCTGATAATCTTGTTTGTATGATAACATGAGAAGGAATAAGTCATGGTTTATTTTATTTTAAAGGGACATTGCCCATGGACAGTAGATAGGCTATAAGATAAAATCCTTGTCTGATAAATAATTTAGAAAGGATAGGTCATGGTTTATATCACCCAGAAAGATCATTGCACCTGATCAGTAGATGACATCTAATAATTTCGTGGTCATTGGGTCAAAAATCAGGGTCACAGTGACGCTTAATGTAAAATTATTGACCAGTCAATAAGTTGTTGAAATGGCACCTTTACAGGCTGGTGAATTAGGGGCAACCTTGTACTATAGCACATATCTAGTCAATAAGGGAAATTGATATAAATGGTGTTATCTGATTGGTTATTTATCTCGTGGCCACGACTTAGTTACTCGTGGCCACGACATAGTATCTCGTGGCCACGACTTAGCTATCTCGTGGCAACGACTTAGTAACTCGTGGCCACGACATAGTATCTCGTGACCACGACATAGTATCTCGTGGCCACGACATAGTGTCTCGTAGCCACGACATAGTATCTCGTGGCCACGACTTAGCTATCTCGTAGCCACGACTTAGTAACTCGTGGCCACGACATAGTATCTCTTGGCCACGACTTAGCTATCTCGTTGCCACGACTTAGTAACTCGTGGGTACGACATAGTATTTCGTGGCCACGACATCTCGTTGCCACGACATAGCTATCTCGTAGCCACGACTTAGTAACTCGTGGCCAAGACATAGTATCTCGTGGCCACGACATAGTAACTCGTGTCTACGACATAGTATCTCGTGGCCACGAATTAGCTATCTCGTGGCCACAACTTAGTAACGCGTGGCCACGGCATAGTATCTCTTGGCCATGACTTTGCTATCTTGTGGCCACGATTTAGTAACTCGTGGCCACGACATAGTATCTCGTGGCCACGAGATAAAAAAAAATCACACACATGTCACCTTTGTGCCACCGTTGATATGCGAAAGGACAACTTTA